ATAAAATTAATATAGAGAACAAAGATAAAATTTATATAGAGAACAAAGATAAAATTATTTATAAATATAATGATAGTCGCAACTGTTCGAAGTAATTGTTAATTCATTAATCAAAATGACTTGGATTTGTAATTTCTGTCAACGTACTTTTACAACTAAAACTTCGCACACCAACCACGTGAAACGATGTCTTCAAAGTGTGGCAGAATCATCAGAAGAATTAAGTTTGGAAGTAATGATGATCGATAGTTTGGATAGTTTGGAAAGCGAAAGATTAAATAATGAGGTATAAAAAGATAAATAAATAATAAATAAAATAATTTCAAATATAACTTATACTAACTTCAATGTTATAGGATAATTTCGAAAGTATTCGTGAAAGTGAAAATGAAGGCGAATATGAAAGTGAAGATGATTCATATGATGCTGAGGTTGAAGACGTATCTTTAACTAGCAATGCTAGCTATTCCTGTGGTCCCTTTTTTGAGAACATGGAATTATCTGAAGATGTCGAAAATTACTCATTTAATAATGATATTTGTGAAGCGGGACCTATTAAATTTCCTAATAAAGCATATGGCGACTTAATGGCTCTCGTTACAACATATAATCTATCCAATAAAGCTGGTAATGCTGTGATTCATTTTTTTAATGAGAATTCCAATCTTCCTTTATCTCCTCTTCCAAAAAATATCAATCAAGGACGTGAATTAATGGAAAAAATGAAAATTCCCACTTTGACATCTGAAAAACACAAGATTCTTACTCATAACAATATAGATTATTACTTATTTTATCGTCCCATTCTCAATTGTATTAAAAATATTTTATCTATTCATGACATATCACAAAATTTTACGTTGAACTTCGAAAATTTTAAGGTAGATTAAATCTATATAAACTAGTTTAAGTATTGAAAATAATATTAACTGTAATATTTTGTAATATAGTATAAAGGCGAAAAGGCTTACGGCGAACAATATACAGGAAATTGGTGGAAAAATACTGAAACTTCTTTACCATCTGGTTCAAAACTTTTATCTATAATACTTTATTCTGATGCTACCACTACTGACACCTTGGGTAAATCCTCTTTACATCCTATCTACATTTCAATTGGAAACATTCCAATTAGTAGACGTAATAAATCCGATGCTAAACAATTGCTTGGATACCTTCCTATCTTAAAAGCAAAAGATCGATCTGAAAGACAATCCGAAGACTTCAAAAAATTAATACGACTAACCTTCCATAATTCTATCAAATTTTTATTGGATCCTTTATTTATAAAAAATGGTATTGATCTAGAAATTGGTGCTCAAACAATTTGGTTCTTTCCTCGTATATCAACAATTATATGTGATTGGCCGGAAGCCGCCACATTTAGTCTAGTATACAAATCAACTAATTCGAACTTTCCTTGCCATTTTTGTTTAACTTCGAAGACATTGTTAGCAAATACCAATCTGCCTGATAACTGTGTAACTCTTCGTAATAATGAAAATATGCAAGAATTCTTTTATAATAATACTGGACAGGAAGTGAGTTTGGAAAATATCCCTAATTATTTTTGGTCTTTACCAAGTATAAATGTATATACAGCAACAGTTCCAGACAGAATGCACCATTTGGACTTGGGACTATTTCACTATCAAATAGAATTCACTCAAGCACTTCTTCGTAAACAAGATAGTTCATTAGTCAATGAAATAGATCGTAGACTTTCAGAAATTCCACGATTCCGAGAGTTAAAAATATTCACTAATGGACTTCAATCAATCTCTAGAATGACTGCAATGGAATATCGAATTTTAATGAAAGTAATGATATTTGTAGTAGACAACTTATATAAAGAAAATAAAAATAACGTTGAAGATTTTGTTGAAAATAAAAAATTATCAGAAATATATGTAAAATGGAACCAAATGTACATGATGAGTAGATCAGAAGTATTTACAGAAAGTGATCTCGAAAATTTTCAGGTGCGTTGTTAAAAAATTAAGATCTTAATTTTACAAATTATATGTTAAATAATTTTATTTTTCAGGAGGATACCTTCGAATGGGCAAAATTATTTGTTGAAATATTTAAACCATATTCACGTTCCGATTTAAAATTCCCAAAATT